GGGGAGATCATGGTGTAGATTTTTTTTTTGGAAAGTCAAGTATGGAAATGGCGGTAATTCTGGTTCTTTACACATAATTCTGTAAAGGTTAAGAAGTTGAAAAACTAATCCAATACCCACCCACTCAACATTTCCTGAAGATCAACGTGCCTATTGTCAATGTTTTGGACCGAATCATAAAATTCATGCCTATACTTATTACGAGCGGTAGCTTCTTCTTCTTCCAATGCTGCTATTTCAGGCATTCTTTCCTGAATCCAATTTAACCAATTTAAATGTGATGACGTCGCTCTTTCGAACCAAAATTGCCACTCTTGCTCTAGTGTGGTACGTGCAAAAGCTTCAGATTCTTCAATCTGTTTATATTGACCATTGATCAATGCTTGATTCATGCGGATCAGCGATTCCATCCAAATGCGCATTTCTCCAACCGTCGCCTCTAGTTCATTTGTTCTGCCATGCAATTCGCCAATTTCTCGACCTTTTTGGCTTAATTGATCTTCCAAATCATCGATTTTTTGACTCTTCCGGCTCAATTCTTTCTTTAATGCAGCAATATCAAAATCATCTGCAATACCGTACAGTTTTAAAGTTTTTTTCGCGCATTCATATATCTTAACCCTCAACTCTTCTGCGTATTGGTCTCCCTCGGGTTTGAACTCATTCCACTTGGCTAACGCAGCGTCGTACTCTGACTTTGCCTCATCCCATTCTTCACGATCATTCTCCTTTTCCCATTTATCCAATGCTGCAAAGGCAGCTTTCCGTGCAGCATCAAAGGTTTTACCATTGGCTTCTTTTTCTATACAATGACAAAACACTTCCCTTGCCCTATTGAGTTCAGCTGCAATGTTGCCATAACCTTCTGCCTTGAGCTGATAGTACACCCACCAAACTTTGCAATACAACTTGTACCATTTCGTCGAATATAGAGAACCACCAAAATAAACAAAATCCCTTGTGCGAGATAACTCTCCGCGATGCTGGGCTATTTGTGCTTCCTTGGAGTCAGTTCCGTGCTTGTTTTTCATCCAATCTGTATAGCACAAATTTTTCGCATACTCAGCAGCATATTCTTGTTCATACTTTTCAACAATAGCTACTTCTACCTTCTGTTTTTCTGACCAAGCGAGATAATACTCTTTGATGCTTTTCTGTTTTTTTTTTGCTAACGCTTCTTTCTTATTCATTTCCTTTAAAGCAGCTGCGACGCCCTGTTCAGCATCCCTCAAGCGCTTGACAGCGGCATCATATTGTGCCTGTAATTCGGATTCTGTGATCATGATTAAATTTAATAATGACGCAAAACACGTCAATATGGACAGTCTTGTTATTCACACCAGTGAGAATCACTGAAATCTGAGCATGTGTGTATAAAGATAGAGAGAAGAAAGAGAAAAAGAAAACAGAAAAACATTAATACACCGCTATCACTACACACACACACATAGGCAGTCAAGCATAAGCGTAAATGAAATAGACACATTAGGGAAAATACCCATTATTCAAACAAAATGTAGTCCCATAAAATCCCAAATAAAAAAGAAAAGATTATAAACGAATTGAATATCATTTGGTAACATTACAGAGATAGCCACACACACAAAAACAAATAATAACGGATAATGTATAAATCTCTCTGTGTTGGTTTCTCCCTGTACCCATTACAATTTACAATGTCCCCATAGGAACAAGCAAATTATATGTTACCCCGCTCAGAAATAATGTGAAAGCAAATAAAAAAAGAAAAGAGATATCATTTACCAGAAACACACAATTGCAGAGTGAGACACACCACAAGGTGCACAGCAATACTCTGCTTACAAGTATAAAAAAGAAAAGGGATTAAGTATTTCCACACAAAAAAGTGATGCACCCTAGCCCAGTGGGTGTCATCGGGACTAATTTTCTCGGTGCTTAGTGTACTGACCACAGTAGCAATTATATTATATTATTAGCAGTAAACAAGTGATTACCAACACTCTCTGGAATGGACGCCACCACAGTGCTCAGCACACGGCCATGCAGCCCAGCACAGAAAGCAGCAGCAGCAGGAGTGGAACACGCAGTGACGCAGGGTTGCTGCTGCCGTCATTTAATGCCATACCACTGTTATTCGCTCCACCATTGAATAAGGCATCGAGATTATCCCCGTGGATATTAATAGTAAAAGTAGAACGGTAGTGCTGTTTTTGTTTCTCTTTTTGTTTTTCTTGTGTTTCCTCCGTCTTATTTCCTTCTGTATGGCCTTGCTGCTGAGACTCCAACTGTTTTTCCTTCTTTTCAGCTGCAGCAACTGCGGCGTCGAGTTCCTTCAGGACATTCTTTACATCATTAGCATGAGTGTGCGCCATTCCCTCAGCATCTTTAGCATTATAAACCGCGTTTTGTGCATCTTTAACTGCCTCCTCTGCATCCTTAATTTCTTTCGGTACTGAATGCTTATGTTCTTCTGCGTATGTCTGAACAACGCTGACATTGTCGTCAGTTTCCCTTTCACTATCTGTCGTTTTATTGGCCAATTCTCCTGCTTCAACTGCAGCCTTCATTGCCTTATCAATGAGTTCATAACCTTTACTCTTCGTTTCCATCACCTTTTTTGGGTCAGCAGCGATTGTTTCGAGTTCATTCCTCGTGGAAACAACAAATCGTTGAGCTTCATACGCGGCCTCTCGAGCAGTCTCGGTGGCTTTCTCGCACTTCTCCTTAAGTTCTTTGGTCTCTTCCGCCAACTTCTTTGCCTGCTCAACATATTTCATCACATATTGTGGAAGAGAAGCAGCCGAAGCATCAGCACGAGCCACACCCACACAGCAGAGCACAATGGCCAACAGGCACAACACACGACACGACAACATGGACATTCTTATTATTAATATCACTGAGGATCACTGTAATCTGAGCATGTGTGTAAAGAGAGAAAGAAGAAAGAGAAAAAGAAAACAGAAAAACATTAATACACCGCTATCACTACACAGACACACACATAGGCAGTCAAGCATAAGCGTAAATGAAATAGACATATTAGGGAAAATACCCATTATTCAAACAAAATGTAGTCCCATCCAATCCCAAATAAAAAAGAAAAGATTATAAACAAACTGAATATCATTTGGTAACATTGTAGAGATAGCCACATACACACAAAAATAAATAATAACAGATAATGTTGGTTTCTCCCTGTCCCCATTACAATTTACAATGTCCCCCATAGGAAGAAGCATATCATATTTTACCTCGCTCAGTAATAATGTGAAAGCAAATAATAAAAAAGAAAAGAGATATCATTTATCAGAACCACACAATTGCAGAGTGAGACACACCACAAGGTGCACAGCAATGCTCTGCTTACAAGTATAAGAAAACAGAAAAGAGATTAGGTATTTCCACACAAAAAAGTGATGCACCTCCGTACAGTGGGTGTCATCGGGATTAATTTTCTTGGTGCTCAGTGTACAAAACACAGTAGCAATTGTATTACTATTATTATTATTATTATTATTAGCAGTAAACAAGTGATTACCAACACTCTCTAGAATGGACGCCACCATAGTGCTCAGCACAGAGAGAGAGAGAGAGAGAGAAAGAGAGAGCGAGAGCAACAGCATCAGTGGCAGTTTCTTTTTGTGTATTCCACGAATATTAGCAGCATCAAGAGAGCGCTGTTTATTTTCTTTCTTTTCCTTTTTAGCATCCACCCCGGCTTGTACGGTGGCTATACAAAACTATACCGCGTCATCATAGTTCTTTCGTCATTTGATTCTTATTTCCAATTTTTTCTCTGCGATTCGGCATCCGTGCCTGCTACTGAATTCGATAATAGAATAGGCTTCTTGCTTTGGTCAATGGCAGCAAAACAAATAAACAGAAACAAACAAACAAATAGTTGCAGTGAAGTTTCTATTAATCCCAACACGAGCGTTCCATGAACAGAAATGTAAAGAAAAGACATTAAATATTAAATTCTTTATTCTGCCAATAGAATCACCCGAGAACATTTAAAAAAGTAGCAGATTCTAAGGCCCCTTCCTCTCAAGACCCCTTCGTGTGGAGGTGCTAGGAGGTGGGTGGGACGGAAAAAAAAAAACCAAAGATTTTATCCTCTCTAATCGTTCAGCCAGAGGTTCTTTTAGACCAGAACAAAATCCAAGGAAAGAAAGAAGAAGATTTCACAACTCCGCAAAGCCTAATCTGTCAAAAACCAAATACGGATTCATATTCTTTTCCACAAGCTCCTATACTTTCCCTAAGAAAAAGACAAGAAGAAAGGAAAAAAAAAAACAAAAAACATTTCTCCACCGCCTTCAGCATTTTTACGACCAAAACAATAATAGGATTTACCACAGTGATGAGTCTAAATAGAGTTTGTATAAATTATTAACAACAAGTACTGGCAAAAATTAGGTGCTGAAAGCGCCTTTTATCATATCCTCTTCCTTTCTGCACGCGGTCGGTTAGTTTTAAGTGAGTTCATTGGGTATTCTAGAATTACCTCTTTTTTTTTTTTTTACAATGAAACCCTTTGTAATGCCAGTTAAGAAAAGATGGTATTAATTATATATATATTCACCAGATGCCCATGGACCCAGAACATTTCTTTAGAAGGTTTGGAAAAAAAAAAGAAGGGTGATCGCAAGTTTTTCCCTGTCAAGGTTTTATCTCTTTATTTATTTTCTTTTTCTTTTCTTTTTCATGTCCAATTATGAGGAATTGCATAGCGCATCGTAGTGTTCTGTCAAGCAACGCCTTCCTCAACTCAGAAAAAAAAAAGCACCCACTAACAGTAAAAACAAGTATATTCATTTCCACCTGCTGGCACCACCAATACAAAAGAAAAAAAAAAAAAGACGCAGCTCAAACCTTTGAACACACCACTCCCACCCTCCCCACCGTCTACCACGCCATAGTTTCCTCACCCCAGCCTTGTGTTATCATCAATTTTAAATTTCATATTTATGGGCAGCGCATCGTTTTTCATTATTATTATTATTATTATTATTATTATTATTATTATTATTATTATTATTATTATTAGTCTTATTTTCTCTATTTTTATCCCACTCAAAATAATAATAATAAAAAAAAAACAACCAAAATTGGGCAACATGCGCACGTGCTCGCCTTTTATGAACTGCATTTCAGTTCATTCCTAGTGATGTTGTTGCTGCTGCTGAAGTTCGTTTCGTCGTGCAGCCTGTTCGGTTCTCCATCTTTCCCTTTTGGCTGCAAACAACTCCTCTGAATAACGTTTCTGGATTTGTGGCTGGAGTGAGTGAAGGCGTTCAGCCACTTCCATTAATCGCGGAGCGCCTGCCATAAAGGCACCATCTTCCTCAGATTCTTCTGGCATGATTTCTGTTAATACCTTTGCGTCTGGTAAGTTTGATCGACGTACCAATCCGGCAAGGTTAGACAATATTTTTTCTGCTTTGTTTAGAACCGCATACGAAAGAGATTGAGAAAGACCATTTAGTTCTTCAAGTAGAGTAAAGCGATAATTCTTTCTTGTTGTATCAATCTGTGCTTTAGCTCGAAGAAAATCTGCGAGACAGGCATTCATAAGAATCTGTGCTCCATCATGACGCCATCCATCTACTACATCAAATATAGGAAGCAGTCGACGATCACAGAAAAGACCATCACGAAGAGTAAATACAAGATCATCAACAGAGGTAAAAATATCACCACATCCACTGATAGCTACAAATGGAGAACGAGCTTTAAATGGAGTATGAGTTTCACTTAATTTTTCTGTAAGTGGGAAATCGCCATTTTCAGTAGCAAATATAGATTGTTTTTTCTTACTGCTAGTCATCCAAGGAAGACGAATAGAATCATTTGACAAGGGATCCAAATTTGAACCAAGATAATTATAGAATGCTGATAGCATTGCAAAAAAATCTGTGTTATCAAATGCTTTCACCAATGGTGAGCAAATATCAATAGGAGAGAGAACTACACGATGCTGAGTGGGACTTGTCTTGCCTTCCCAAAGTGTAGTTACAGCAGGATCAAGAAGAACAGATCGATGTACTTCTAGAGGTACTCCACATGTGCGATGAGTAGAGAAAAGATAAGCGAGAAGTTCAGTAATAGTTTCATCCATTGCACCACTATTAAGATTATTTCTGTACATAATTGGATATTGAGCTTTATCAAAGACTCCAGATGTGAGCATTTGAATAAAGGCAAATCCTTCATTGCCTACATGAGCCTCACGAAAAACATACATAACATCTTGTAAAATAGAACCTAGCGATGAGGTATGTTCGCTAAAATGTAATCCCTCTTTTTGAAAAAATCCAAGTAACATTTGAAAAAATTCCACAGTAAAACTTTCCATATTGCCACCTTCAACAGAAGCACGTCCTTGGAAAAATAATGGATTAACAAAGAGACGTTCTGCTAATTTTAATACATGTCGTTTCCAAACTATATCATTCTTCATTTGACGAAGGGAATTAAAATCATATAATTGAAGTAGACGTAACTGTGATAAAGGATCCATTTGTACATTACCTTTTATAACTGTCATGCTACTCGTCATTAATCGTTTAATACGTCGCATCGTAATACCCACAAATACCAAATGACCAAGATAATCTAAACCACGACGTCCTGCACGACCCATCATTTGACGAAATTGCGTAGGATTAAGAAGAATATGATCACCAGCTAATACAACCGAACGACAAGGGCTATGAATTCCAAGAGCCAAAGTTTCAGTAGAGAAAATTACACCACAGTGTCTACCACGGAATAAACGTTCCACATGACCACGAAGTTTACCCTTAACACCAGCATGATGCATACCAATACCACGTTTTAAAGCTCGAAGAAGAAGATCTTCACCTTCTTTATCACAATCATCTAATAAATCCCGAACAACTCTTGGTTCCACTGTACATTTATCTCCAGTAAAAGTAAATTCTGGTAATACTTCAGGAACAACAAAGAGTTCTTCATCTCCTTCACCTTCATCACTTAAATCACGTTCATTTACTTCCACATTACCATCATCTCCCGTTGTAAGACGTTTTTGTTTTAAAGTAGATTCACGTTGTTTTCGCCGTGCTTCCTGTGCAGCTGCTGAACGTTCTATACGAGATTTATATGCAGCAAACTCTTCTGTCTGTCGATAACGGGCTTCAGCTTCTTCTAGTTGTTCTACAACATACTTAACAAGATCTCCACAATCTTCAGATTCAAAACTAAAAACAATGGTTGGACCCATATTACGTGCAATTAGTTCACGTAATACATTAAGCATATTTTCTCGAATATATTGTCGAGAACCAGGGAATGCTACAGATTCTTTCTGATCATTTTTAGATTTTTCATCCATTTCTTCTTCTCTTTCTTTTTTCTCTTCTTCTTCTTCTTCTTCTTCTTCTTGATGATGATGTGAACGTTTCTTCTTTTCCATAATATCTGTTGCATATTTCTCAAGTGCTAATTCATCATGAGTTAATTGTTGAGCAAAAGCTGAAAGAATTCCTTGAGTTACAAATGACATAGCATCACAAAATTCTTCAATATCTTCATCAGATAAATCAGATAAATGTTCATCAGGTTGATTACTTAAAAACACCCAATAAGCAAAAGTATTTTTAACTTCTGCTTCATACTTTCGTGCTCGTTCTTGTGTAATATAAATATCCTTTTCAAAATATTTACTTGGTTCAAGTAATGCCAATTGTGCTCGTAATGATTGTACTAATGGTAAAGATGACCATTTAGACCAAAGAACTTCATTAAATTGGGATCCCATTTTTTCAACAAGTGAAACTACTTCACTGGGTACGAGGGAAATTTCAGGAGGAAATCCACTTTGAAGTTGATCAGTTGTAAGAATAGATAATGGATGAAGATCACGTATATATTGTTTATCATAACTGGAAGTAAGTTTTTTAAGAGATACTTGAGCTCCAGGAGGTGGAAGATAAATATATTTTTTGATATCATTCCATCGTTGAATGCTCTTTCCTTCTGATGGTAAAACATGTACAGCATAATCACGTGTTTTATTATTAGATACATCTTCTTTTTGTTCTCGTAGACGATCTTGCACACGATTAAGCCAACCACATAATTGTTGAGTTTCACCTAAAGTGGCAGAAAGGGCAACAAATGGGCATGGTAGAAGAGCCAAAATACGTTCCCATACATCACCATTACCACTACTTTCCATAGAATGAATCTCATCAAGGATAACATAATCAATTAATTCCACCCAATCTGTATACTTTGGTGAAAGAAGCATAGTTTCAAAAGCTTCAGGGACTGTAAGAAGAACTTGACAACTATCATGATATTGGTGATAATCAGCTCCACCAAGTACACCATAAATATGTTTACCAGGACTTGTATACTTCTTTGAACCATAACGAGCACATACATCTGCTACAGCTTGATTAATTAAAGCACGAGCAGGAGCAAGATATACAACCACTTTCTTATTGGATCGTCTTAAAGCATTATACATACAATAATATGAAATAAATGTTTTACCAGCAGATGTTGGAGCACATACCACAGCACTTCCACGACCATCAACAATATCAAGTAATTCCCTCTGCCAGTTATCAGGATTAAAAGCGACACGATAATCACGTGCACGCATAAAAGGTCGCTCTAAGAGATGACCCATATAAATTAATTGCAGCATCTCTGGTGTTTCAAAGAGTTGTCTACCATGTGGTAAAAGATTGGTTGTTAAACCTCCTGGTGCTTTATTTTGCCAACGTGTAATAGCATGATCAACTTTAGAATAATAATCTTGAGTAAAATCAAAATGTGCAAGAGCGGAACGTACCGTATCCAAGTCTTCAGAAGATATTTGAAGACCTTCATCACGTATTACAGATAATACAGCGTGGTGGCAGTAAAGAAAAAGAGGAATAGCCAAAGGAATACTTGGTGATTCTTTCGCAAGTCGAGCACGTTCACGTTCAGCACGCCAATTTTCCAGATATAATTTAACGACACGACATTTAAGTTTCATTTGAATATGAAGTTCCACATAGGAAAGATATACCCATCGTAAATAAGATGCCGCCTCTGGGGATGTCATATCTGGTCTAGCTTTACGAAGTGGTTCAAGCTGAGGACTCCATTTACCTTGTTTCTCATCCTGAGAATCAATAAGTCTATTAATAACAGTAAAACCATATAGAAAATTTGTATCAGACTTAATATCCTTCTTCTTAGCAGCTCCTTTAGCTTCTTTTAATTTAGGATCTTCAGGGGAAAGTGCAAATTCAACTTCTCGCATTCCACTTGCCGATACAAGAAGACGCCACATGGCAAGTTTTAATGGAACACTATTATCTGCAGTTTCCTCAAGTGTATATCCTGGATCAAAACTTTTACCAAAATTTGCCTGAGAAAGTCGTGAAATGGCAGTTAATAATGTAGAAATAGCTTCATCACGATCTTTATTACTCGTACGACCATAAGGTAAATCAGCATTACGTAGAAGTTGTTCCATTTGTTTATACCAATTATTTACCGTATTTGTAGCAGAAGTTGCATTACCACGTTCACGAATTTCTTCTTCTTTACTACGAACTTTTCGATTTCGTTGTCCTGCATGTGCTTTATTTACCTTTTTCTTCGCTGCTGCATTTTTGTTATTACCATTTTCATCATCAGATTCATTATCAGAACACACAATAGCTAATTCATGAGCTGCAAAACCACTAATTCCCATTGATTGTGCCTGTTGAAATGCATTACGTACAAATTTTGTATTATACTCTTGCATATTTTTAATTTCTTTTTCGGTCATATTACTCTTTGCAATAGCTTCACCTTCAGCATCTACAACATCATTTAATCTATCAAAGGGTGTAGTGATATCCCAACCAGCGAGTTCATTAGCAGCACCAAATCCACTTGGATATGCTGTGTCTGCATAATGATTTGTTACTTTAAATGATTTTGCGAGTCCTTCAACCAATTCATGTGTAATATGTGGATACGTTTGTAACTTCACATGATTTGGTTCAACAATTTCTGGCAATTTTGTAAAAGGTGATTCTGTGATAGAAGGAGCATCTTCACCAACAATTAACTGCCATGAAAGATTAACATCAGCGGCGCTATCTTCATCTAAAAGTTCACATGCAGGATTTGCTCGCAAAAGGCGTACAATAGCGTAAAAAAGATGTCCATCAATAATATCAAATTCCTGTCCACGTCCTTTAGAGCATAAAGTATTACGAAATACAGAAAGAAGATATGGTGATAGATCCGAAATAAATTTCGAAAGGATGTCATTTGGTTGAACTCGTTGAGCACGTAATTCACAATTAAGAGATGTTGTCACATATGATGTTATAATCATTGCTTGACAAAGTTGTAACTCTTCATCGGTTCGTTTCTTCTCATTTACAAAGGCATGAATGGCAACACATACAATTTTTTCACGGTATGTTAATTCCTCTTCAAGAAGTTTTAATGATGTTGAAGTAATATTAGGTAATTCCACCTCATGTTCAAGGGATTTCGCCAATTCACGTGCTTCTTGTTCAATTGCCACCGCACGTTCAAAACTTGAACCATCCACTGGTACCGTAAACACAATAATGGCATTTTCTCTATAAATCAAACGTGATGAGTAGGCAATTTTAAGTCTTCTTGTAGTTGCCCATAATTGCATACAACGGAAATACATAGCTGCTTTATTACCAACTTTTTCATCATCTACAAGACTTCTGTATGAACGTTTTATACGGTATGGATTTATTGTACTGTTGCCATTTACATTATCATTTTTTCCCGTTTCAACGTTTTCTTCTCTTGGCTTTACAAAAAATTCTTGAAAAGGTGTAAGACTACCAAGTTGTTCTCCATCAGACATCAATAAGAATTCTGGTTCCCAAATTCCCACATACTCTTCAAACTCTTCACTGTAATAGCTGGGAAAGTTCTCCACCGTAAGGTCAGCGTCTGTGTTATTATTAGATACAGATAATAAAGTGAGTCGTAAGTTTTCACGCAAAAATAATTTTGCAGGTGCCTTTTCCCACATCCACAAGGCATTATCGAAAAAGACCACATGAAAACGTGCCCCACGGGATTCCAAATCAGATAAAAGTTTCTGCGCATTATAAATAACATGTAGAGGTTGAATGAGATCCCAATCTACGGATTGCATGGAAATGGCAGCCATAAAAAGTGAATCACCGTCAATAAAGAACATTTCACTCGCACTTAAGTGTACAAACATATCACATAACTCTGGACGTGCACTGGCATAGTGGTGCTCTACGGCGGTACGCACCAATTCCACATTCATAATAGCGAGAACGGCATCTCTGTCCTTCTCAAGAGCCGCAAGAAGAAATTTCCATGCGAGACGCTCCTCCTCTTGCGTGTTTATCGTACCCATATTAACAGACTCCGACTCTCCACGCATACAAAGTACGGCATTACACACACGGCGAAGTGCATCACAGCGGCGAGTGGCTTCAATCGCCACGGCCTCCATGGTGGCACCGACGGTCTCATCAACGGGTATTGTCTTGGCCACAAACATATCCTTCACTTCACCCACGCCATCCATCGAGATGCGGGAGTGGAACTCATTGTCACCCAAAAAGTCACCAAAGAGAGTAATGAGCTCGCGGAACCTTGATGACATTCAGTGATAACACTCGAAATGTATACAAGGGATTGAAGAAGATGCTCAAATAACACACACACACAGACAGACAGAAAAAAAAAAAGCAATATATAAAAACGTTTTAAAAAAAAAAATTATGTTTCGTTTGCTAGCTTATTCTTTTAGGTAAAACAAGAAAGAAAGAATGAAAGAAAAACAGATACAAATATATAAATATTTTTTTGAAGAAATAAAAGAGTGAAACAAAAATCATATACTCCATAAAAAATGACCACCTCCACCTCCACCACCACAAGAATAACAAATAAATAATAATAATAATAATAATAATAATAATAATAATAATAATAAAACGATAGATAAAATATTGAAAAAAAAAAAGTATGATTTATTTTCACAGTGTGCAATCAGAGAAAATCTAGTATTTTATTATTTATGAATTCCATCTCAACAATTACAATACCCTCTCTCTCTCTCTCCCTTTGCCTAGACAATAGAGGCATCCATAGCCATCATTGGATTAGAAGCATTTGGAGTATGTGTAGATCCCACAAAGTAAACCAGTACATTACAGAAGAGTAATGCTGGGAAACCCCAAACGAGAACCCATACAATACGAAATGACTCCACAGGTATTGCATTCATAAATACAAGTGAGAGAACCAATAAAGAAAACGCAACCATTAGAAAGACAACCATCAATGACTCAAGGCATCGACTACAGAAAAAAGATTTTAGTTGTCGATGTTGCTCTTCTAAAGAGAAACGGATAGGCCAAAGAATATGAATAATAATCAATATATGAAGAAAAATCTCCACCACACGGTTGTATCCATCTATCACTGTAATATCATCATCACTATCATTCGTACCAGATATCCAGGCATTTCTCAGAACGAAAAATGGTTGGAGTTGTAGTACAAACAATAATGCATAGGTTAATACCAGTAATTGAGAATTTATTACAGAATAATATTGAAATACATGTTTTGACTCTTTTTTACATATATATAATATTGAAAACAGAAACAATAAGAAACCAAGCCACACCAACGCACGTCGTGAGATTTTAAGTGAAAGTAATTCACATATTATAAATGTAGTCATGTACACTATCGCTGGAAAGTAGTAATAATAATAGTAGAGATAACTGTGGTAGTTGGAACCATAGGTAGAAAATATTCGACGAAAGCCTCGAAGAAGCATATAAGATGGAAAATATGACCACATCATCATTAATCCACGTCTAGTTAACCACAACAATAATCCAAGGAGATGATAAGCTGCTACACCAATCCAAGAACCCATTAACAATGGACCAATAGTAGTAAAAAAGGTACGAGTGAAATTTATCGTTGGTATACACATAAGACTATCTGCAACCCACGGCAACAAACACCAATTACCTCCAAAATGAAACAAACAACAATTTATTTGCTTTATAAACAATCGACTCACTGTACCAATGAAGAGTGTCATAAGCACAACACCAATAACAGGTGGTACTGTAAAGATTGCCAGTAATTGTCTACCAAAGGAAAATAGAAAAGGTACACGTAAGTAAATCATATGGGTAAAAGGTCTGGATAAATAAATTAAATGAGGTATTAATGGAAATATAGCGGATAACATTAATGCGGTGTAAAGTGATACTACAGCAATAGGAAGTGTATGATCTTCTACACTCCACTCTCCCCAACGTGAAAAAAAAGAGGTATAAGTTACTGGTACAGATACTATGTTTGTATATTCCTCACCCTTCCATTTTTTATTTATAGACGCATTTACAATAAAAGAAGCAACAAATTCACTTACACAATAATCCTGAACAATATCATTATGTGATAACATTTTACCACATACAGTAGGATTATCTGTACGTATATTAAAATACCTTTTCAGATCCTTCTCACCACTATTTGTAGGAAGAATAGTCAACTTTTGTTCCACCTGAAGATCTAATGCTCCAGAACTAATAGAAACCATACGAGGTAATACATTTTGTGGATAATGTATAATGGTATTGTTTCTATTCACATTCTGCCAAAGAATTAAGTATAGACGTAACATTGGTTCATCTAAAAAAATAGGAGGTTGACGATATGGTGAGTTCAGCATAATAATACCATGAAAAAATGGAATCATTTCTTTTGCCTCTAACATTATCATCTCAAGAGCCAATCCTGCAACTACACCACCCATAGAATGACCAATAAGCCAGAGGAAGGGAGTACTACTACTACTAGTAGTAGTAGTAGTAGTCGTTTGCCCTTTATATTTCTGTTCCTGTTGCTGAATAATATTTCCTTCATTCCGCAGTGTTTTTAAAGTATGAACAACAAAATCCGCTTGTTGCCATAGAAGTCTACCACGGTGAATATTCGCCTGTTCTGCAAAATCAAATGAGTATACTTCACGAATAATACTTTGTCGTTTCTTTAAAGCACACCCTAATTTACCACCTTGCTTATATGAACCAGAATTTCCATGAATGAAAAAAACGAGTACATCTAATGTATTTAAGATTGATTTTGCAGACTCTGTAGGATCATAACATAAAAGACGATGTAATGCATAGGAATTATGAAGAGAATCAGTTCCATTATATTTTTGTTTCTTCACTTGAATAGAGTTAACCTTTTCATAGCCAAGTACATGCCAATCATTCGTATACGGAAGCTGGTTATTACCCTTTTGTTGTTTTTGTGCCTCAAACGTTGTAATTAAGAACAATATTAGTGATAATGTAAATAGGAGTGCTAATATAGAGGTAGCCCAGGTTGAAACTTTAGTAATCATCCTCACTCTCATCATCTCAATATTATTTCGCTTTTTATAGACAGATATACCGAGCAAGTTGTAATAATAATAATAATTGTAGAAGTTGTCGTTATCATGGATAACATCAGTTTCTTCTTCTTCTTCTTCTACTACCAAGTTGTCATAGTTAAACGGAAGATGAGAAAACATCATCACTACATATTTTCATTTATTCTAAATCTTTTCACTCATAAAGATCAAAATGAGAAGAAGAATAAGAACAACAACAATATCAACAACAAGAACAGATTTAAATGATTACACTTTAACAGTCCCAGACCAACGAAAGGAAGAAGAAAAAAAAAAGTTTCCTCCTTCCCACGCAATACTATATTTATAAACAGTAATAATTATGTATAGCCTTTTTTTTTTTTCGTTTTTATTCCATCCTGTGGTACCTTACCTTTTGGATGTACAACACAAATAGAGATGAACCAATCAATCTCCTAGTTCTTCAATCTTTTTCCACCGTCGTATTTTTTTTTGTTCTTTTTCTTTTTCTGTCGCTGTTGTTGTTGTTGTTGTTCACGCACCTTAATAAATAAATAAAAAAATTGTAGTAAAGGTAAAGAAGAATATAATTCAGAGGATTTTGACTTTCCTCATCCTTTTTTTTTTTCTTTTATACAGATATATTAACCCACTGAGAAACACTCTATTCTTAACTAGTAATCCCTTTTCATCACCACATCACACGCAGACCTTTTTCTTTTTTCTTTGTTCTCTTTCTCTCTACCTCTTCACCTACTTACTACTACTATTTACTTACTCATACACGAGTGTCCATCTCATTCGCGTTGTTGTTGTTGTTGTGGATATTGTTGTTGTCTTGAACCAAAGAATAAGTCCGAAATACACACACTTTTTTCTTTTAAGAAATGAAATAAATCCATAAATATTGATGAACGAGACATTACCACTCGACTAGTGGCATCAAGAGCAATACCTCCTTCAATAAGAGTGGCACCAGAGTAATACAAACGTGAATGCTCCAGGCGTACACTCTCACTTGGCCTGTATTGCATTTCTCCCGTTTCTGTTTCTGTTTTCCCTGTTAAAGCTATAGAATCGCTTTCTTCAGAACCCACTAGTGATGCTACGTCTTTGTTTTGATGATAAAGATGATAATGATTTATTTGTATTGCTTTTTCATATGCCGTCTTATTATTTCCAACAAAGTTATTTCTCCTTATGGTTCCAAATACTCTTTGAAATCCACTTCTGGTATCATTTTGTTCTTGACAACATTGTGTTCCCTTAATAAAGGTGTCTGGTTGTGTTTCCTCTCTATTCACATGAGAGAGAAATGGAAATCTGGGCGGTATTAATCTACTCCCATCTATCACGGAAGATTCCAACATTGAACACGTTGGGGCAGCTGTTTCTGGCATTGTTACATCTCCCCGTTCTGCACTTGATGTCATCATATCTTTATTTGATCGCTTCTCATATTTATAACTATTTTTTTCTCTTACTATCACTTCTTTTTCTTCCTCTTCTTCTTCTTCCTCTTCCTTTTTCATCTTGGCTACCCCGAATGATGGATTCAGATTAACCTGTGATGAGTTATTGTTTTTGATACCTCTCTTATTCATAGATGAAAACGTTGTAAATACGGTATCCTGAAGAGTTAAAGTAACATATCTTGCATTTATCGCTTCTCTATATGTAGAATAGGCGCGGCACTTTACAAGAGAGAGAGTGGCATATTCCGCACTCACCGCAGGGCCATGAACAGCACTCACAAATACACATTCCACGGCCCGAAGTGTACTGCCTCCAGCGAGTTGAACAGACTGTGCACCAGCGAAGAAACAACGTGTGGCTTCAATACTTGAACTATACAATCCAAGAACTTGTCGAAGGTGTGCATTATCGGCAAGAAGGAAACAGCCACGTCCAACATGTACACATAATGGAATGATATCACCTCCACAAATGGCATTAGATCCCTTCATATCAGTATCAGAAGTAAACATACTTCCTTCTACAAAAACATTATTCTGTACAGAAGTAACTCCATCATCACCTTCCATAAAAGAGACTGGTGAAAGTTGATTTGTAACTGGAAATACTTGATGTAAATTATCAACTGTCGATGTATGAAGTGAGGAAAAGGTATTACTGAAAAGTGTAATGTCTGAACATCCTTGAATCTCTCCTTTAGCTCCTTGTTGTAATGTAAGACCATACCATATTTTTTTTCCTCTATTAATTTTATTGCCGTGATGTTGAGAAGTATCTTTGGCTGTCGTATTACCCCTAGAGAGTATGATAGGATCAGAATTCTTTCCCATATATTGTCCTACAACATGAATTTGTTGAAATAAAACATTTCGTAGTTGTACAGATGCTCTCTTACCATCTGCAACAATTACATGTTGTTTTATCATATTATTATTATTATTATTATTATTATTATTATTATTATTATTTTCGTCATGCTTTGCTCCGACATGCGGGTAATCCTCTAGAAGCACAAGACACCAATCCATCACAAGTGTTCCACTGCCTGTAACTCGAATAAGATCCCGCGGTGGTGGTGGTGGTGGAAGAGAAGTGTTCAAAGTAGAAAAAGAAAACGACGACCATAAAGAAGGCACTTGTTGAGATAATTGTCGAGGTATTGCAGAAGAAGAAACACCAGCAGCAGAAGGAGAAGAATCTGCATTATTAGCATTATTATTATTATTATTAGTAGTAGTAGTAGTAGTAGTAATAGTAGTAGGAGCAGCAGGAGGAGGAGGATTAGGCTGAGAAGGTTGATGTTGATGTTGAGAAGGAAACTCATTCTCTCCCTCTGGCATAGGCCGTAATACTACATGTTCCAGATAGCACTTTCCATCAATTTGCAATTTCCCTTGTAGAACCGTTGTTGGAGAAACGGGCGCTTGACAACTAATTCGCGAAACACCTCCACGGTGAACAATAAGGGAATGATGACGTACATGTTGAGCACGACAGTCGGATAAATACATTTGTGATCCGGATAAGGCGTTAAAGGCGATATTGCAAAACTCCGCCGTACACTGATGAAGATAGACATTCGCCCCATCTCCACAACTAACAGCACACTGTGCACCTCCGCCAAAGTAGGCATTATGAATAACCGCATTTCCTCTATCCATAGCGAAACATGAGGGAAAAAGACCAGAAGGACTTGCAGAAGCTCCTGTAAGCGTTAATTGAGGTGGAAATTGTTGTTGAGCAGGATCTTTACGAACTTTAATATCTAACATACTATCGGTCATTGTATCTAATCTCGCCCCATCGTATACGTAAAGACCTATACGGGAAAAACCACTAAGCTTTACATGACCTTCAACATGTACAGTACCATTACGATTTTCAATGCTATACATTCGAGCTGTGTAACTACCTCGACGTACTGTACAAGTTCCATGGCTAAGAACAAAAACTCCTACATGATTACTATTTGTACTACAACGTGAGAGACGACATTTAGCACTATCAACTGTAAATCCATTGACAATATGTTTTGCAGTACAATGAGAAGCTTCTAGCTCTGTATCCGGGCCAATAGCAGCATATCCAAAGGTTACATGCCTTACTTCACATCCAATAACAATACATCGACTTCCTGACCATGCCTTAACACCAGAATTTTTTTGAGTATTGATTGGTACAGTTCCACAGGTATTCTCATCTCGCGTTGTAGAGATGATACCACCACTACTACCACCACCACCACCACTATTATTATTATTATTATTATTATTATTATTACTACTACTACTACTTGGATTATTGACAAGGCCATTACCACTAGGAGGAAGAGGTACAACTCCTGATAGCGAGGTTGAACAGGATTGCCCTACTGCAGAAGAAGAGAGAGGACGTCGTAGTATCTCACCATTGGTATGATCACTGTTGGTGGGAGTACTCATATCTACAATACACTTTTCAAGTCGAAGACATCCTCCATTATAACAGGTAAAACCACTATCAAGACCACGTTGTACTATTACACCAATACAAATAGTATCACTTGTACGACTCTCTAATCCATGTACACGTCCTCTTAAAACACAGGGGAGTCCACCTGTAATACATTTTGGTCCATTTGAATTATCCATACGTAGTATAGATTTATTAAGTGAAAATACACCTACATGTTCGGTATCGGCACCACAGTTCTGCATAACACAATGTGCATCATCAATAGTAAATCCATTTGTTCCTCCAACTACCATACATTCTTCTAAACGAACACTAGATCCCTGTATAGCTGCAAAACCAAAGGTATAATCAATTACAAGACAACGATGAACTTGTGCTCTACTATTAACAACTTTTAAACCACAAGGTTGCTGTGATGGAGTTTGCCTCGACCAAACAATAGTTTCTGAAAGTGTAAGAGATCCCTGATCATACATATAAATAGATGTATCTTGTGCATCTGTTAACACCATACCTTTTGCCACCATAGAGGCATCACGAACCTCTAAACTAAAAAGTCCTCCTGTAAAGGATAGAGGTGGTATTACAACTGATTCAGATATAGTATTTATTTTTTCAGAAACCAGTTCTCCTCCTTTTCCATTACCATCATGATCATTATTATCACTATTACTATTATTATTATTATTATTATTATTATTATTATTATTATTATTATTAAGAGTATCTTCTTCTTTTTCTTCTTTTTGTATATCACAATAATTCCCTGTATTTATATTTCCATTCCTGGATGAATGATTGTTAGAACTAAAGGAAGAAATTCTACTGTTACCAGAATCATCACCCATCTGTGCATGTAGACGCAGTTTATCTGAACGACCACGCATTTGTAAGAATAAAGAACAACGTTCCTCAAATGATAAGACATGATCTATATCGTTACTAATGTTACATTTGGCTTTATTCAATACAAATACACCAACGTGATTTGTCCGTGCAGAACTATTTTCTATGGTTACAGAAGAGGCATCAATTGTGTAACCATTCACTACATGTTCTGCATGACAAGCGTAAAAGTGTGCTACGGAATGCGCAATAACGGAAAATCCAAAATAAAGATACTCCGATTGACAATTTCTTGCAGTGACCAAACCTCCCAACTCCACATTTAATCCTGTTGGACGACTAATATCTGATATTCGTGGTTCCATGTTATCATTACCGTAGAAACGTGTATTTGTAAAGAATGCACGACAACCAAGAATTGTAACAGCACTACTACATCCTGCTAATATAGAACATTCAGAAATATCTACTGAAGCATCTTGTTCAGCATAAATAGTTTTCTCTGTGCAATAGGATGAAAGATGACATCCTCCTTGAACACGTAATGAACCACTATTTGAAACGAGAATAAATGCTTGTAATAAAAATGGAACTGTATTACCTACAAATATAGATTCTTGTTCATAAACAAATGTGTATTCCTTTCTATGAACATTTGTATGATCACGTAATTCAACTGTAGAGACGTCAAGGATAAGAATTCCTTCACGTCGTGACTCTGGAACATCAATATAAACTTCACATTGTGATAACTGTACACGACCCCTTCCTTCAGTAGAAAAATATCCAATAAATGTGCATTCATGCATTTCAAGTGTTCCAAGAACAGTAATAGCCCCATAAATGGTGAGATTTTGTAATCGTAATGTACAACCAAGTGGAATTACACAAGGGGCTTCTGGTACTCGAGATTTTCTTGTATTTGGAAGAAGATCTCCTTGATTTCCATATCCTGTACTTACTCCTGTTAATATTAAAGGAATACTAGAAGGGGCTCGTTTCAAATTAGTGCATTTATTTTCATGTTTATTTTCTTCTTCATATTCCTTTTCTTCTTGAGAAGGAACTAAACCTTGCGCCTCACCTATACTGTTACTGTTAAGAGTAAGCAATGACTTTAACTCCGACCCAATATTATCATTTGATATAATTTTTTTTTGGTAAAATGGATCACAACAACTTTTTTCATAACCTTTATCATTAGTTACTTGTGAATTATCCACCCCTAAGGCAACGTTACTGGAACTTTCCACTACTTCTACTTCTGAACTATTTAAATTTTCTTTTTCTTGTTTGGTGTGCACATAATCAGGATTATTATTACCTTCTATCTGTTGGAATGGAACGATTGAGATGGTGTACGTTGAATTGTTACCACTTTCAGATGGAAGTGTACAAGTAATGATATTATCCTCCACATCAATAGTAGTATTTACTGAAGAAGAGGTAGAGGCACTTTGAACGTCTAGCTGAACCTCAATGTTACCACCATCGGTGAAGAGTCTCTCCAATTCTTCACGAGAATGTACAATTACTTTTCTTGTCTTTGAATCACCCTTTATTTCATTATCCCCAGAGAACATTAGAGAGGAACTCGTTGTTGTTGTTACAGTATCCTCCAAGGAGGTAGTAGTTCGTTGTGATAATTCCTCACAATCTTCCGTTTTTTGTTCTTGTAAACTTTGAAGATTGTTATTGCTATTATTATCATTATCATGGTTATTATTATTGTTATTACCATTACTACTACCACTACTACTATTCTTGTTGTTGTTGTTGTTGCCATGGGATTGTCTTACTGTATAACCACGAAATAGATGTGGATGGGACTGACGAATGTGCTGAATACCCAATTCGTGCTCTTCACGTGTGTACGCCGAGACTGTAGCCATCTCTACCATCGTACTATCCACCCCATCATCCCCGATAAGCCCCTGTGGCTCTTGTTGTTGTTCTTGTTCTCGTGGCTGATTATTATTAATATTAATATTGTTGTGTCGGTTACCGCCTGCCTCATCCACTGTGACTCGACTGTCGTGCGTGAAGGGATTGAGAGTGGCGTGAAGGGCGCGGAGCAGCAGCGCGAGGCCCTCCGCGTCCACCACCCACCGCTGCGACATGAGCTCCAGCGAGCAGATGGCGCCGTGGTGGATGAACGCCGCCATCAGCCGCGGGGCAATCACAAACACCAGCGGCATGCGCTGCAGTTCATCAAAGAAGTACAACCGCAGCGATACGAAGAACTCCTGCCGGTTCTCGTCCTCGTAGCGCAGCAGAACGTACCAGTTGGTGAGATCGTCCTCGTCGATGAGCTCCACAAGACTGCAGGCGCCCTCCAACAGGCTGCGCGTGTGCTTCCGGAAGTGCAGATAGAGGCGCTGCAGTCGTTGGATGCTCGCCGCAGACATGGTGGACATCACAACGGTGCACAGTCGCTAAATAGATAACAGAAATAATAATAATAATAATAATAATAATAATATGAAAAAGAAAAGAAGAAGACATACACGCTTATATGTGTGTACCAATAACAGTAGGAAAAGTAGGGAATTTTACAGTCTTTATCCCACTTACTCACCCAACAAACCATATAACAGTCAAACCAACCTCCTCATTGCAAAGGAAATCGTAAATAATACAAAATAATTAATAACAATAACAACAATAATAATAATATGATCAAAGATTCTTTTTTCTCTTTTCCCTCCCTCCTTATGATATTTATATATATATATTTTTTTTTTCTTCTAGTGCTGATGGTGCTCAGGTTTAAAGTTTTTTTCTTCTTTTAAACACCTTCTCTCTCTCTCTCTCTCTCTCTCTCTCTCTCTCTCTCTCTCTCTAAGAGATCCTAACCAAACCATTACTGCCACACACCAAATCAAAAAACACTTTCACAAGAATATATACCTTTCTGTTCTTCTTCTTTTTTCTTCTTTAAATAGTAATTTCACCTTACTCTACTCTTGTCACACCTGATAACTTCTTCTCCGCATTAGTATCTCTGCAGCAAAACCTGTGAGTAGGAGAGAAGAGAGAAAATATACAACAACAAAAATAACAACAAATGGGGTATTGACAATAATAATGATTAAAAAAAAAAGGTATACGTACGCGGGTATAACACTACGGTTATTCTTCATTATCAGATGTCTGCCACATGGGTCAGTTAAGAGGAATTGTATTTATAATATCCCTGCAGAGAGACACCAATATGATACGACGCAAAAAGAAAAGCAAAAAACAAAGAAAAAAAAAAAAACAAATAAAAAAAAAAAACGAAAAAAAGAAAAA